ACTTTCAGACTATATCTACACAAAAGGCTCTTCACAAGTGTTCCTCCACGGACAGCTGAGGCCAGCAAGCGACGGTGTGAAGGCAGCCTTCTCTGGAGAGATGTGTGTCATTTTACGGCAACCCTTGCCATAAGCAAGATGAGCCATCGTGCGCAGTATCACCAAAGCAATTACATGATGAAGGCAGCCTTGGTGTTGGGGGGTGAGTTATGTGACTGGGATGGGTCCATGGGACACTGTGCTGGGGAAGTTCAGTCCCCTTCCTCTCCCATGAAGTCCTCCAGCCGATTTGCACAGCCCACAGCTTCTGAGAAGCGGGAGAGAAATCCTGGGGTTGTGCTGGAAATGCCAGTAGGGGTAGTACTGAAACAGGGAAATGGGAAGCACAAGGTTGTGGTGGGAAGGATGCAGGAAGGGAGCCCGGGTACCTTCAAATTGCGACGCAGTCTAGGGTCATGTCACAGCCACCGACTGGGACAGCAGTGCTGATAAACCTGGGCTTACTAGCACTCAGGTATAAAATAAAAATCCATCCATAGTTGAAGTGCTCCCCTGTTGTTATTCCTTAGCAGGCTGGTGAGGATGCAGAGTGCAGCCAGCTTTGGGGTGATGCCTGTCTGCACCCAGCAACATGCCTATCGCTGACAGGCAGTGAAAAGTGCTTATGCCCACCCAAAACTGCCAGGGGCGTGTCAAGGACAGACTGACTCTCCCCAGCTAGGACAGGGCCAGAACGCTGCAATCCACACTTACTCTGACAAAGATAACGCTGGGTGCTTGAACGGCTTTCTCAATACATTCCCACTGGATTTCAGTAAGTTTAAGGGAAAAATGGAAAACCTCAAGCACTGATGAGTACCCCTAGCTGCACCCTGGACTACCGACTTCAGCGCAGGCTCACTTACTAAATTGCTAGCATGTGCCTTGAGAGATCACTTGTCAAAACAGGAGCTATTCCAGCCATGTGGAGCATGGGAGATGTAGCTGGAATTCAGGACAATGTGATGCACACCACTTACAGTAAGGCAAAGTTTATCTCTGGGGTTAAAGTTGCCAACTGCCAAGCAGGATAGAAAGGAGGCATGCTTAGGGCTGCCAGAACCGCTCCGGATACTCCCACAACACTGACCCAACAGCTCTTATGCCATCCTCAGGACACGGACCTGCGAAGGCAGTACAGCCAGATGTGACATGTGAGTCCATGCTGCTCTGCCATGCCCAGGAAACCCCCTTCGAGACACTGGCTAGCAGAGAACTGTGTGAAGGAAGTCAGGAAGCCCAGGTATGAGCCTACCAAACCCAGCCCAAAGTGCTGGTGCCTGGCTATGCACCCCTCTAATCTCTGGGCAATCACTGATCTGGGTGTATCTCACTTGAGTGCTTTTTTTTTCCTCCCACAGAAGGAGGAAAGCTCGTTGGATAAGGAGTTTGCTCTAGGGGACACTGCCTTTTGAACATCTAGAAGGAAAAAAGTACTTCCTTCTGGAGCGAAAAAAAGAACAATATAAAACCAGACCAGTCCAGCACCTTTGTAAGGAAATGGTATTGTGCTTTTTGATAATAAGCTGTGCCTTTTCTGGGAAGCGGATACAGAGGATTAAGTACATTTCTGATTAAGCTATTTTGACATGGTGCTCTCCTCAGAAGAGTTCATATTACTGGTACCTTTATAGACTTTCATTCTCTGTGAGCTTGAAAATAACAGAGTTCATGAATTAACTTTTAGGCAGCAAACAATCCAGCAAAAGCTTATAAATATTTTTTAGACAACAAATGAGGCTGTGCAATAAGCAAGCAAAGTGTAAAGTGCATTTGAAAGTCAACCTAATGATGGATTTAGAGGCTTAAAGCAGCTCTTTTACTGTACTTGTTAGAATCTTTAATTACACTCTTCATCCCCGGCAATCAGATGTGATACTGAACTAGAGAGCTTTGTAAATCACATTACGCTGGGTTTGGTGTCTTTGAACAATCACATCTTTAGCATATTTCAGGAAGACAAAGCGGTTGAAGGGCTGCTGAACTTTGTCAAGTTAAGCATGGAATTCTACAGGAAGTTTTTTAATTAGGTTTCAGGCTGACAGAAGCAACCCCTAACTATCACGGCAGTGCTTGGCTGGGCGATGCCGCCTTGCTCTGGGTGTGCCTCTGGGCTTCATTTTTTTAATGACTGACACTCCTATTTATAGAGTGAATACAAGGGAGTTGCTTGGAAGGGAACATTTCTGAATACGTTTCAGTGTACACAGGTTCGAGTCACAATGTCTGTTAACATACAGTTCCTGGTACTGGCCCCTTCATTTTATCTTGAGATAAAGAGTCTTTGCTCCACCCATGGCAAAGGGACTGCTGCCATTGCTGCACTCTGGGCTGTTCTCTCCTCTTAGCTGAGGGCTGGCAGTGTGAGAGCTTCTTCATCATCCCACTGTAACTTAACCTTAGCCATCATCAAACCAAACCAGATTTTGCTTTCTGTGTTCTGTTGTTTTCCTAAGGTTACGTCTGAACAGGCAGTGCTGCTCTAGTAGCAATGAGCTAGAAGCAAAACCAGCAGCTGACAGGTACCATCTATTACCTTCACAGGAGAATAACCCTGGATGGCTTGGAAGATTAGCGTTAGGATACACGCTCCTGCTTTGATGGTGTGAAATGAGCCCCAGGCTGGTAACAGTCAAAAGTAAATGCTGCTGGTGTTCAGTATCCTCTGTAAAAAAAGGATTGATGGTTGTAATCATTCGCTACAAGATATACCTGCTCCGTAAGTGGTAATCTCAGCGCTGTGTCCCAAGCTTAAACGGCCGCATATTAGTGCAGAAGTTGTGCTATTGGCTCCTGTTCGCTGGTCAAACTGAGCTTTTCACCCTCCAGGAATGTTGTTCTATCATCTTTCAGAGACTTAATTCACAAAAAGTGAATATAACAGGGAGAAAATATGTATTAACTGAGGGTGCCTTACATGCCAAAGAAAGGACTTCGGTGTTGATAAATGAGAGGGAATTAGAGGACACACTGGTATTGTGGTAAAGACACAGGACTATGCAGGTACGTGCTGATCTGCAGTGTGGGGTGGTAACGTTTTTTGCATCTTCTTGAAAATTGCTGTCTCTTGCAAAGGATCAATGCTCTGTGAGCTATTAGTGAGACTCCTTCAGGGTATTATGGAGCTACCACAGATGACCACTGAAATGGGTCTGTAGATTGCGCTCATGTTCAGATTGTTTGTGCTCATCCATTGCTAAATGGCTGGAAAAGAGCAGGAGCTCCCATTTTAGGCTGACCTGGGGAAAGCCGGTGAGAACTTCCCATGTGCATTTGGGATCCCTCCATGCTTCATTAGTGAAGGTGCATCTAAATGCTTTTCACGTTTTGGAAGAAACCTGAATTTGAATTCCAGTCTTGCAAAGTACATATTCCTTTTTGGACCCTGGGTCACCCATGCGTCCTTGGATGAGAAGCTGAACTGTTCCAAGGCTTGTCCTCCCCATCACTGAAAGGCAAACACTGCCAACCCTGTGGGAATGCTGTGTGCAGTGCTGACAGTCAGAACTAAGGAAAAGACAACTTTTACAAAACTTTTGGAGATGGCTTATATAAGAATATAATCAAACCCTGACATCTGTCTAGAGATTATTCAGGCATGCACAGAAATATCTGGCAGAATGAAATTCACCGAAAGCCGTAAACCTGATCCCAATAGTAAATGACGCAACCAATAACTCACCACTTCCATGCTGAAGAATCTACCACCACATCACATTAGAGATGAGGGAAGCCTGGGCATACCTCTCCCCTCCAACCACACGTGGCCAGATGTTGAGCCCCACGGGCCAAAAGGGCTTCCCCAGCTGCAGCACGGCCCCTGCCATGGCAAGGTTGGCTGCCCTTGCCTGCCACTGGAAAGGCGGGATCATCAGGCATGAACTAGACCCATAATTTCAACAAGCATGGAAGAAAAGTCACTGACCATTTCAGTTGTCTTTGTCCCCGGTGCAGGCACATATCTAGAAGGCAATGCTGCCCTCTGTTATGCCTTCAGCTACTCACTCACACATGGCTGCGTACGCAGAACCAGCTACTCCCATCGCAGCTTGGGGCTTTGCATTAGCCTCCATCTAATGACATGGGATAAAGAAAGCCAAGCCGGCTCCCGCAAGAAGCTGAGCACCTTAAGTTCCTAATGAGCTTCAGAGACTTAGAGAAGGCGTTTTGCATACCATAAGGACACGGTAATCTACTGTAAATTACTGTAATTCATTCTTCAAGTCCTAACCTTCATCCACCGCTTTTTCACTGTATAAATCAGGTATTAACATTTAAATAAAAATCAATATATTCACCTTTTCATTTTGTATTAGTAGCATCCAACTTCATGGATAAAAACTAGATGAAACCAATTTTATTATCAGTTTAGAAGTTAACATTTATTTTATCTTTATTTTGGTGTGTTATCCTATTGATGAGTTCAATACGGAAATTTCAAGGCAATCCTTAGTCCAATGTAATCACTCTGAATAAAACTGTATGAGAAACATGTTTTAAAATGAAAATGTACTAACAACGTATTATGTCCACATGTCCATTTTCAAAAAGAAATGGTAGAATTAACAGGAAATAAAGATTATTCCTTATTCATACTAGGCCTGACTCCAACCCTGGTAATCATATTCACCGTTAAATAGCTCCACAAATACTTGTACTCAGTGGAAGTATTTATGTAGGCAAATACTGCTGGCCCCTGGTAGAAGTGGGAGAATCTGGGCTTCTCTGATTCGAAGATTTATTATTAACAAAACCCTCAGTTGCTCAAACCGCACAAAATAGTTTCAACTGAACAGTCACACCACTAGTCAGAGAAAGGCACACACGTGATAAAGGAGGAGAACTAAAAAGCTTATTGACGTGTTGATACACAGCTGATAAGGAAAACAAAAACCCACTTAAAAAAAAAAAAAACCAGTTGAGTTTTAGTCGAAGTCAGAAGCAGCATCTGGTCTCTTTTCTCTACCAACGTCAAGATGTTTGCAATAATGCTGGAGATATTTCCAATTCTAGCCATCCTTACAGGTAAGAATAACAAACTGATCGAAATTTGGCGGTGTTAGTTTAACGGTTGGACTCAATGATCTTAAAGGTCCTTTCCAATCTAAATGATTCTGTGATTCTGTGAAATAGCACTGGAATAAAGGAACTTGTAGAAATAAGAGAGCAGGTGAAGCTGACTGGTAAACTAGGAGAACATTCAAGATTTATTTCAGGATGGAATGAGAATCATGGTTATAATGCTATGCTATTTTTGTGGAAATCAGCAGACTGACCGCTGACTGGGAAGAGTGTTTTGCTCAAGAACAGAATTTTAGCTTTGGTAAATTAATGCTTGCTCTAAAGCCAGGAAGAGGCAAAGAGCTCTCATGTAGAGCGTTAGGGTCTTTCAAGCGTCTTAAGTTTCACTTTTGACACATTCGGCTTTTGTCTCCCCTTGATAATAGCCCTGAGAAATGCTGCCTCATTCCCACCCCACCAAAAACATTTGGGGGATGCTTAACTTTAAGCATGCAAATAATCCTTTGTATTTCCCTGAAGCTAAGTGAGGATGTAATACTTTGTGGAATCTAAGAATTATATGGTATATTAAAGATGATATATTATTCATGTTTTAAGGACATTTCATTCTGCTAAGTTTTATTTTTAAAATAAACAGAACCAGACATTTTAAGTCTAAGGCTAAGGGGGTTTCTGCAGTGGTTAGGAAGAGATTAGCAAACTTGGATTTACTTCATGAGCATTAAAAACTGCATGGGACTTCAGTGAAAGTGGGTGATTCCCAATTAACTGTGATGACTTTCTCTGTAGCAAAGAAGCAGTCTTACCTTAATATTGGTGACTAAAAGATATGGATCAACTATTTTTAACAAGCTATGGTCCTGTTCACGCTAGCTTTTTTCACAGATTTACTTCTTACCCATGCACTTTTTTTCATTGAAACCAAAAGGCCTGTATGTATGAAGTGGGATTATAAGTTCGAAACTGTAAACAGTGAACTAAACGCAAAGCAAAACTCCCATTAACTTCTGTGATGAGGGAACAGGCTCTGTGGGTTTGGTTCGCTCCGTTTTCAGTCAAAAACTCCATCTTACAGTTAGTGATGTCTTTAAACAGCCTCGCTGGACAATGGAATTTTGATAGGCTTTATAATTTTACTAGAGTGAAGCCTATTTCAACTAAATATATTTCTTTAAAATACACAGCTTCATGGAAACTATAATGCTTTGTGGAGTAATTTCTGCTAAAATTAATTTCTTCTGGAAAAGCTTATAACAGTCAGGCTCTGTGGCACTCCTGACTCCAAAACCAGAGCATGATAAGGAAATACATGGAGCAGATGACTGGAAATGGATGTTTTCAGCAGAATGACATTGTGCTGAAGACTGTAGCTTAAATACAGCAAAGAGCAGAAAATAAATACATGTAAACCCACAAGTATTATTGTGGCAAGAAACTATCACCCCCTGGCCAACTCTAATTCTTAAAGCTGAGAACAGTGAATTGAGACATCTAAAATAATATACACGGCTTTTATATTAGATCTCAGTACGGATTAAGCTACCGTGGAGTCACAGGACTTGAAGCCAGCACTGGGATCCCCTCTTTCCCCAAGGCAGGTTTGACACCTTCAGCTCAGTCTCCAGCCATTCTGCTGAGACTGTCTTCACATATAATGTAAATCTTGCCGTAGTTTAAACCCGCTAGTTCTCAGCCTCCACCTCAGCTCAGTTCTCACCACCAACATGGAAAGTAGATTATTCCCTTTTTCCTTGCAGTGAGGTTTTACTACTGAAGCCATCAAACAAGGAAAACAGACCCTGAAGTGTTCAGACAGGTTTGCATATTGCAGCAACTGATGAATCTGCAATGTTTACATGGTTAAAAATGTCTAAATTGATTATTTTTTAAACACAGTTTTCTGTCATAGGGCTGATAATTTGAGCAAAATACTCTTTTTGTATTACTGGAGGTTCTGCTTAAACTCTCAAAAGCAGAACTCAAACATAAGATGCACGGATATTCACTAAGAATAGTATTTTGTGTATTTTGCCTCTATCATTCATATGTGCAATAAGCGCATGTGAAAATTATTATTATTATAACATGAAGTTCTTACCTTGCCTGCTTTGCATAGAAAGCTCCCAAAGACATATTTTCCATTACATTCAGAAGAAATATATTGTCCTTCAGAATCTGTAGACAGTAGCTTTAAAACTAGACTCAGTGATCTAGCAAAACCCTGAAATTCAGACTTATTTTTCTGACAGCTCTAGCTTTGTTGCCATATGTCACCATTGCTAGTACCTTATATGGAGGACAGAAACAGATAAATACTGTAAGATGGTGCTTGCTTCCTTTCATTAATATGGCTGCATAGTCAAGACTGATTGGAATATTATGGGAAAGGGCTCGCAAATTATGTTTGCTCCCTTTCTGCTTTGGGTGCAACAGAAAGGGTTGATCAAGTTATCACAGAATTTCTCACAACCCACATAATAAAAGCAGTTCCAAAAGGTTTAGTTTGACGTTTCCAAAGCACAGAGGAAAGGTTCGGTTCAGCCACAGGCTCTTAATGAGAAGACAAGTCTTGGCAAGTGAGAACAAGAATGCTTTTAGGAACCCTGCTTTTTCAGAATATTCAGGTATTCTGGGGAATTTATTGCTTGTTAGCTTTTACCCATGCCCAGCTCATAATCACTTAAATTTCCACACAAAGCCCAAGGGAAATTGTACTGAAAAGGAAAACGACTAGACATGTCCTAGGGGTTTCTTTGATAAGGCTGGGAGCAAGGCACTCCCGCATGGCTCCCAGGGTTGGCCCTGGTTGATCTCTCCTCACCATGCTTACTGCCCACAGGCCAGGCCAGCGGTGTGGTGGTGACCGTCCCTGAGAAGACAGTGAATGTCACTACAGGTGGAAACGCAACCCTCGTCTGTACATACACGAGTTCTGGACCGCTGGCAAATTTCTTTATTCAGTGGAGCTTTTACAGTGCCAAAGAGAGCCAACAGCATACCGTAAGATATTTATTTATTATTAAGATGATATTTAAGGTATCCTTAAGTCATCACAGACTCTTGTTACATTTGATAGTGTTATCCTCACTACAGACCAGGGGGGCAGGTAATGTTGGTGTTCCCACATTAAAGACAATGGACTGGGGTGCAATGAAATTTAGGGGTGGATGCACTAAGTTACCTAGGCTCCTAATTCCTACTGGCATGCCTGAACTCCTTTAGAAACTTAGGAGAAAGTACAAAAGGGATTCCAATGCTCAAATGCCTTGCTTCAAGTCACACAGGAGGCACAAAGCAGAGCGAAGACCAGGTGTCCAAAAATCACAGAGGCGCCCCAGCCCTTGGACCCTTTTGTCTTGTCTGGCAGGTATTTCCTGCCATTGTGAAGGCTGCTTTCCCACTGAGAAGCCCTTGCCTATGACAACCTGTCCCCCATTTAAGGGTCAAATGAGAGCTCCTTGACTCAGCTCCTATCGTTGCTATTAGGCGGCTCAGTAAGAGGTGCACTATCAGCTATCGGCGCAAAGTCAGCAGTGGGTATTTTGGTGGGACTTGGTAGAGATTTGTCATAGCAGGAAATCTGCCACAGCAAACTTGTGTTGGCATTTTGCAGCATCCCAGGGGGTGTCTCTGTGGTAGTAGAACAATTACAGATCAAAGGCACGCTGCTGCCCAGACTTCAAGAGCTATCCATTAATCTTACGTTTTGGTGGAGAAATGAATCCATGAATCTCACTCCCAGCACAACATGCAGGGTATGAGTTTCCATCAGCTCAGTCCTGGGAGGTGCTGAGCAATCACCAACACCTTCCTTTATAACAAGAAATGCTGATCAGAAGTGTTACTGCATCCTCAAAGATGACTGATTTTTTTTCCATGCCCTGGTGTTGGGCTCATGCCTGTTAGACAATCAGTCCCTCTTTTCGCCCGTTGTTTTTATCCTGTTGCTAACATTTTTTTTCTAAAAGTTCAATCCTCCTGCCTGGTGTTACACCTGAGAGTTGATGTAAATAGATTTGACTTAGAAGCGTGTCACAGTCCACACTGATGATATTCTTGCCGTGTTCACCCATTTCCCAATTATATTATGTTAGGAGGTTTGCCATTGCTGATAGAGTTAGACCTTCTATTGGGTTTATCAATTATAGCAAATTAGACTGTCCGTAATTTGCAGAATGTACAGTATACAACACACCTGGCATCAAATGGCAGTAGCCAGTATGTAAGAAATAGCAATTTAATGTAAGACAGAACTGCTCACCCTCCTGCAGTATATCATAGCCACAGATAAAGACTGTATCAGTGCTAAGTACAAACACTGGGCCCATCCCAAATCCTGACTCTAGCTGAATGCCAGGCTGACACCTAGCCTGACTAATTGTATGAATAGTTGTTACTCATCATTTGCTTTTTTCAAGTCAAAACAATTTTATTAAATGAAGAACTAGTCATGAAAGAGTGGTAGCTGCAGGTTTCCTAAGTTGTATATAGTACAAAATATTATTATTACGATCCTGTACATTCCATCATAAATTTTAATCACTTGTTCAGGTGGGAAGTACAGCACTGAGGTAGGATCAAGCCCATCTTCTCCAGATTTGGTTAGAGTCTGTCTTGCTTGCATCAAATTTTCCATATTGCAAGACAATAAATGCAATACATTTTCTGGTCACAACCAAGAGAAATAAGCAGATTGTAGTTGCAAGTATTTTAGAGGGAGAATCAGAGAGTTTCAAGAGATTCAGGAGGGGAAAGCCATTTGTGAGCTGTGACCAATGATGAGAAAATACCCCCTGAGGATTATAACCATAAAATACCGTGCGTGGTTCAGAATATGCTCAATGTGAACTAACTGATGTGGGGCTACCAAACGTCAGGGAAACCTTATGGATCGTTCCCTTCAGCACTCGTGGCTTCTGCAGCTCCCACTGCAGGCAATGGGAAAGCCATGCTGTAAGGACTGTAAAAAACACTACTGGGAAAGAATTGCATCTGTTTTTCTCCCTATCTGAAACTAATTTCACGGTAAATTCACTTTCACACCGCAACACACATGCATTTGTAATGGATGATTTGCATTTTCATTAAATAAAGTCCGTTCAATCTGGAAAGGCCATGGGTTAGTGACTAATCCTGTTCTCCTTGAACACCGAGGTAAAATTTCATTTCCCTGCAGCGCCAGGTATCCTTGGCTCGCCTGCTCAGCGAGGCTCGGAGGATACCCTTCGCTCCTCTGAGCCTGCTGATGTGCCTGGAGGGGGCATGTGTGTGAAGAGCCGAAGGACTGGGGTACTACTCTCTTTAAAATGCATTTAGCAACCCATTCAGTCCTGTATTACTTGACCTTGTACCCTTTTACCACAACACGGCAATTCCTTACCATTTTGAACCTATTCACCATAAAATTAATCACGTTAATGCAAACACTGGGCAGAAAGGACTGTGACTGCTTGTGGAAAATACGGTTTAAGAAATTACACAACACAGCTGAAAATGAAATTGGATTTTCAGCCTCCCTCTGAACCCACAGCAACACGAGGTTGCTATTTCTATTTCAGGCTGGTGACTTTTCTGCATTTCAGAAAGGACTGAGTGCCTGAACGCATACGTGCCTGTCTCCTACAAGTTTAAACAAAAAATAATATCTCTTTCTACAAACCTGGCTTTTCCCTGGTTGCTTGGCACGTAGCTGAAGTTAAGTTTCACATTTTGTTCCAAGTAAGGAATATATGCATGGCAATGGAGGAGATTGCCAGCTTTGGCTTTCATTGTTTAGATTAAAAAATACTAAAATGCAAGTCAAAAGTATATTTAATATGCTGGTAAGATGACAAAACCAACTGAATCGAAACGACTGGCACCATACCTTACTGAATACCAGAACAGCAGCTTGCATTTTCAATGGAATAAAATTATTTAGTTTTATGAAATATTTAATTATTCTAAAATGTCAGTAATAAACAAGCAAACAAAGAAATACTTCCTTACAAATAGCATGTATTTTCCCTGAAAAAGTTTATTGAAAATTCTGGCTCCATTCAAAAATTGCCATTTTTTCAGCAACTAAATGTATAACATTTTCAAATTCCATTTTCTGAAGTTGAAAGTTTCTGCCAAATAATTTGAAGACACAAAACTTACAATTTTTAAAAAAAATTGCAGAAAATGTCTTCTTATCCTACCTGCTACAATTTAAAATATTCTTGACATCTTACTAAATGCTAGATGTCTTGATGACTATGTTATTCACATGGGTAGTATATTCACAATAGTAAGATTAAGCAGAGGGGATGTTCTCCATAACAAATATGGGGGAAAAAAAAAATTCTTGATTTTAATAAATAACGTTGATTTACGTAATTGAGAATATGGCCCTTTCTCTCTACAGTGGCAAAAAATAATAGAGCAAACTGTAGAATGTTAGAATTAATTAAGGCAAATGTATGTCATTAAGATGCCTTTGGCTTGAAGCATTAATGAAGGTGAGCTTTAAATGACTAGATTTTAGGACAGAATACATGATAAGCACAGAGGCCATAGGTACCCTTTCTAAAAAGAATGTCAGTATTTTACACTGCCACTTACGTTACAGATTTTGAAGTGTTTTGAGAAACATAGGCTCAGGTACAGTCCTGTCTGGAGTGAAATCACTAAGATCAGGATCAGGACTAGCACCAGTGTTACTTTAATGCCTCGGAGTATTCAGCAACAGATTTTACCTTGCTTCAAGGTGAGGCAGTGCTGTTCATTAGTTTGCAGACCTGCTGCAGATCTGCCTCCCAGCACTGGCTTTGTGAAGCTGGCTGGTGTCTTTCGCTGTTTGTTCTGGTGTTTTCATACCCTGTTCCGCGTTGCCCACCTCACACAACGCTGGCGCAGGTGCTCAGCAGTTAAAAGTCACGGCAGTTACACTGGAGAGGATGATATACCGCAAACAGGCTGTTCACAGACAGGATGATGAAAAGGGAGGCAGAAAACAGCGGAATGGCAGGTGTTCATGGTGCTGTTTTGAAGACAGTACAGCTATATATAGTGTGCAAATATAGACCTTTTTGCTAATTGGAGCCTAACTCTGCTAGTTCCCTGAGACGCTTCTCCAGTGGAAGCAGTTCCTCTCATCTGAACTAAATAATGTAAATATCAACTCATGGAAAATAGGATGACATATGTATTTTTAACTTTTTTTTCTTGCCACTTACCCCTTAGCAACACATCTTTTTAATGATAAATTTAATTTTTGAATAATAACTCCCAGCCACGGATCTTGAGAACTTTCTAGTACTGAACCGTCTCTATTTTACATATAGACCAACTGAGGCAAATGCTACTACTGGCCTGGTTCATAAGGTAAAGTCTCAACTCCTGCTAAGATCTACATCTTGTGCTTCATTTCATGCCCTGAGTCACTCGGCTGTACTTGGTGTGCAGCACCTAAGTAAATGTTTGAAAGATTGAAGCCTACTGTTGACTCTGCACAGGCGAGGCTACAGCCTTGCAAAGCTACATACAACTCCTGAACCTAACCAGGGCCACACCTTGAGCCTCCAGCCCAGCCCACCCCCAGTTAAAATAAGTGAAATTATCAGAGACACTGCATGGCTACCCAAAATATGCCTAGGGCAGAATCCTTGACTGAAATTTTAAATTCACTAGATGAGTAAAGGTCATGAATGACTGTCACTTGTAAGAGAAACCAAATTATTGATAGACTTCTCATTAAAATCTTCTCTAAAAAAAAAAATCAAGCTTGAAATATTTGCAAACAGTGACATTGACACTGCTTTGGTAAAACTACTGATGGGCAATTGAGAGGGAAGGAGTATTAGCAGCATGTAACAGCATATAACAGCAAGAATATCTTCCATTTATTTATGTTCTATATTGGCTTTCACCCTGCCAGAGCCCTCTATGTTTCTCAGATCTGTATTACTGAGAAAGTATCACTTCGTGGATAGGGGCAAGGAGGGTTTCACTTGCTGCAAACCACACAGAAGAGGAGGATGGCACTGTTCGCTTAGGAGGAGCCTAGTCATGTCCTTATACCCGGCCTTGCAGGCCTGATGAGCCACTTTGCAAAACCTTCACAGGAGTGAGAAGGCTTGTGTCACGCTGTTCAGGAACAGGGGACAGGGTGGCAGAGCCCAAGGAATGAAACTGATGCAAGAAGAGCGATCCGAGTGCAGCTGTGTCTGCTCCTTTCACCCTGAACCCCCAAATTCAGATTACCAGCAGTCCCAATGCCAGCAGAACTCTGCTGCCCAGCACAAAGCAAGGCACAGGCATGGGCACTGGGCTACCATCGGACAGCCAGGGGCCAGCCAGGCCTGTAAGTGCAGAGTTCCCATAAAAACTACTTAAAGAACAAATTCAAAGCCCACGAGCAAAGATGAGTGTGTGCAAAGTACCTCCTGAAGCAGTACAGGAAAATTCCCTGGAAAGGATCTCTCTGATACACAAGCATTTCTTTTTGGCTAGAGGTGATTTTTTCCAAATTGAGTTTTAGCTAGCATTTAGATGACTGAGCAGGCACTTGAAAGGAATAGCTTTATGGAAAGCAGAGGCAACACCTCCAATGCAGAGGAAGGGAGACGCTGTTGTCATGTCATTGCAGTCAGAGTGACTCCCTGGATGCCAGTGGGATTACTGTGGACTCTGGTTATCTGGCACTGGGGTGACAGTCTGCAGAGAGAAAATAAAATAAACCAATACACTGAAGCAGACAATGGTGAGAACACAAAGGAAAGCAGAAGCAAGCAGAAGATGATCAGGTTGTAACTGATGTGTTTGGAGCAAACATTAGATTTCAATCTTAGTTTGCCTAATTTTAGGTAAAACTTAGAAATAAGACTGTATTGCATCTCACTGTTGACAAGGGCTTGAAGACATCTGCAAAATCTGCTTTTAGGCACCCTGTGCTTGTGAACAGCACTGATGGTACTGATGGGGAGCTGTGTAGAGAACAGGCTCTTTGATTTTGGGGGAACATTTAAAGTCTCATTTAACTCTCAGATCAGCACATTTTTACTCAAATACAGCATTCCCCGTGTCACGGTATTCTGAGTATGGACGAAAAGTCAGTCAGTCATTGTCAAAAGATGGTGTATGTGACAGATGCACGGGGAAGATGTAGCTGGAGATACAAGGTAAGAAAAAAATACCTGCAATCTTAAGGGAAAAAAGATCTAAATAGCCTCTACTAGATTTATGCTACTGCAAGACCTGTAATCATGTTCTGGATTAAAATCTTAAAACCAGCACATGACTGAGATAAGCTGAATCAGATGCATCACTCAGAATTTTTAACTCGCCCTATTTTTATTGCATTTTCCTCTATCAAAATTATTTTGGATGTAGCCGTTGTTTTTTTCCCACAGCTATTCTAGCTGGCTGAACCAGCACCTTCAGGAATGTTCTACCCAAATGGTATCTGAAGGGCATGTCCACACACCAGGAGCCTATGGGCTGAATATGAGCAAGTCTGGATAGCCCAAATTTGGGGCTACATATTTACATAGCCAAAACAAAAAAATCACCCTGGATCTCCTTTCTAGAATATAACAACATTTTGAGATGTGATGGATACAGAGGGACATTAAGCTGCCCGCTGAACTGGCTT